AGCTAGGACAAACAACCAAAGCCTCCCGTTTTCGTGTTGAGAAATTGGATAGTGCTAGTTCTACTAAATCAACATACGCTAAAGGTTTATTATGTTTATGGGATCCAGAAAATTTAATTCAGCAGGCTATTATTTTAAATCCTAGTACAAGAGAAACAAGATTTCTTCCTTACCTAAGTAGTGTTGTTGATCAAGAGAATTTTGTAAACCGTGATTATCGTTGCTATTGTTCATTGGGTTTCGACTCGTATAAAAGAAGGCATAAAATCTTGATGACACTAGTTTATGATGATGGTCAAAATAAGTCGACAAGAAACTGGATTTTTACTCTAGGTGATGAATCGTGGAGAGAGATCAAAAGCAATATACCTTATATTATGCCGGTATTTCTAGGAGGAGGAGTTCACATTGATGGAATTATCTATTTCTTTAGTCGTTACCACAACAGTACCTTTTGCATTGTGGCGTTTAATGTTAGGACTGAAATATTCAGAATTATCTCATCGTTGTGGTATGATCATCCTTGTGGTATTCATGTACATTGGGCATATTGCTATATGCACTATCACCTGGTAAAATATGAAGGAAAAATAGCAGCCGTTGATTCTAAATCAGCTCATGTTTGGATTTTACAAAGTCGTCCTGATAAAACGGAAGAATATTGGGTACATAAAAAATTAGTATTAGAAAATGAGAAATTTCGTATTAATGGGGAGAATATCGTATTATTTGACATGTTCAAGCCGAGTTTGATTTTGTTATGTGATTTGAAGAAAAAGTGGTGGAGAACAATTGATAGAGAGAAGGATAAGATCATTGGTGTCTATAGTTGTGATGAGGATAGCCTTTACTCCTTATAATTAAGGACAAATTTAATTTTAAGTTAATTTGAAGGCATTTAGGATTTTGATTCTTTCGATTTTTTTGTTACATTCATCGGTTTTGCATCTTTTATGAATATACTACTGCTTTATTTTCATCTTTTTCTCGTGTCGTGGATCTACTGGAATAGCCTTTCTACACTCGTTGTAGTGGTAAGGCACAGGTGGATCCAAGATTTGAGGTTTATGAATTCTTATCGTAATTTTAAATTAATATGCAATAATAACTGAGTTCACAGTTAAATATTTATAAATACAGGGTCTACGCAAGAGTTACTGAGTTTCCGAGAATCCATATTCAATGCTCTAGGTTCACCCCTGGGATAAGGTACATGTACTCACTACCCTTCCCAAACCCCACTTGTGAGATTATACATAACATAGACGGAGCCAGAATTTGATATAATTTAAATACGTTAATAATAATAAAAAGATTAAATGCGTGCATTAAATAATAAAATTATTTAACAGAATCATAATTTTTCTAGCATAATATAAAGAAAAATTTTAAATTAAAAAAAAAAAAACTTGTATATTTGCAAACCATGACGAATCGCTTATAATAATAATAACGTATAATGAGGTTAGTTCATAAATAGAGAATCAGAAGATCCGAAATGTTCGTTTAATAAAAACAGAAACAAAAAATATTTTGAGCTTGTAAGTTTTTTTTATATGTTCTTAAGGAATTTAATTTCCTTACTGTTGCCAATTTGTTTGGGTTAATTCATTCTAGGATAGAATGGAAAACTATTCTATAATAGCGGCACAATGAATCACATAACTTTGGCAAATTTAAACGGCAGAGCAAATCATATTTGATACATAATTTTATTTTTGAACATAATACAGAAGAAGGGAGAAAATTTTCAGAATTTTAAGCTAGCGTTTGACCATAAATTTCCAAATTTGTTTTGAAAAATCTGATTTATGTGAAGTTTGGTTTGAATATGAAAATGTGTTTGGACATCAGTTTTCAAAACGTATTTCTCAAATTTATTTTGGAAAAATATAAAATATGACTTATACCCACAAGTTCTAAAAACTATCACAAATACCCAACAATATCATTATCAATAACATTGATTATATTATCGCAAACCATAGTCTTGAACATAAATAAATTTGGTACAAAATTATCATTTTTATAATGAATTACATGATACACTATCAGATGACCGAGAAAACGAAGCAACATTGTTACAAAATAATAAATTGTAGACTCTTTTATAAATACAAAAGTTTGGAGCAATTTAAAAAAAATCTAATAGTGATATTTTGGCCCAAAAGCTGGTTTTGGGATTTGAGATTTGGAATTTGGAATTTTGCCAAAATATAAGTAAAATTTATGGTCAAACATGTGTTTGTCAAATAAAACTCAAATTTATTTTGATAAAATCTATGGTCAAACCGATCGTAAGTGTGTTGAGTGTATTAAAAGAATGAGGCATGCCTCTCTATTTATAGCCAACGAATGAGTGAAAAAAGGATACTTTTTGGTGCCTTTTCGTGAAACAGCTCTTCATTTTCCATTCGCTAACTTACAAAACTCAACAAGTTTATACATAATTATCTTTGTCACCCTTAAACGGCTTTCTTGCAGTACGAATATAGATTAATTCAAGGGATGGCAATGGGGCGCGGGGCGGGTTTTGTTTGATGTGGGGCGGGGCGGATTAAAACAATTTTTAAAATCTTTAAAGTGGGGCGGGTTACGGATTCAATCCGTGGCAATTTTGAATTTTATCTTTTTTGAAACAAAGCAATCATTTCAACTACAATTTCACATTCTTCTTCACTAGCACGAATATAATTTTGATTTATAATTAACCAATTTGCATAAATCTCACCAAAATGATATTACATAAGTCAAGATATTGTATTAGTAATAGGAAATGATAGTAACCCATTTATTTTAGAAGATTNGGGGCGGGTTGAATTTTTTGTGGGTTTTGCCGCATCCTCCCCGTTCCATTGCCATCCCTATTAATTGGAACCAAATATATCATATGGTTACTTTTTCTTTTCTACTACAAAAGGGAAGGAAATAGAACACTATTGATTGAGTCGATCCCAAGACAAAGCAAAGGGAGTTTCGTGAGTTCAGTTTGGTTAGAGGCGGAAAGTCTAGAAGAGGGATTATTCAAAAATCGAAGTCGGTTTGCTTTATAAAAAGAAAATATTAATGAACTTCTATGAAATGGTTTCACGGGATTCAGTCAATTGTCTTGATCTTGGAATATCATTGAGAAATAGAATCCGAATTATCAAAGGATTTCTTGCCAATCGAACCCACACCTAATATGGATGACTACATAACTAGACTTGATTTCTTATAAATGACAGCTCGGTGCACTAAACTTCCGCTATGTGCGGGGTACGAGGAAGAGTCGCACCACAAGGATCTATTGTACACAATCTTACTCTGCATTTCTGTAAGAGGCTATTTCGACGGCATGAACCCATCACCTAGAGATTTCTTATGCTATGTTTAATTTATTTAATTCTTTTTATTATATATAACAGAAAGATGACCGGGAAATATTTGAGCTGAAAAAAAGAGAAAGAATTTGAAACATAAAGCAAACAAAGCGTGACACTAGCTTCTATATACTCCACTTAAATTCCCCGCCCCCAAACCTCCCAAACCATAACCGTTTCTTCCATAGCAAGCCTTCTACTTTCCATTGCAGAGAAAAATTTGCAGTTCCATTACATAGAAAGATGAGTTCTAGCGATAAAGAAAACGAAGAAGAAAGCTCAGAGAAGACTGAGGAAGAAGAAAGCTCAGAGAAGACTAAGGAAGAAGAAAGCTCAGAGAGTAAAGAAGAAGAAGAAGAAGAAGATGAAGAAGAAGAGGAGGACTGGGCTACTGCAATGAGGAACGGCGCTGAAACGCTGGAACTGCATTGGAAGGAATTATGTAACCAGAGAGATGTACGACAGCTAGTTGAAGGAATTTACAACATGTATACCATATGCATTGAGTTACTCAAACTTCTACAAACATTTGAACCAGGTTATTAATAATCGTTAAATTCACATTAATTCGATGATCGGAAGCGAAATTCTACAAGGTATTGATGAATTTTACATGAAATTTGCAGAAGCTAGGAAATCGGCACATAATGCTGCAATGTACCACTACTTTGCTGGAAGGATAGTTGATGCACTTCCCTTCTATAACGAGATTGCAGAGACGCAACTGTTGAGAGCCGTGAGTGAAGAACAGAGATAGATTTATATCGTTTTTTTTTTTTGAATTTTTTTTCCTATCTCCAATTTTTGATTTGTTGTATGTTTCAACTGTTTAATTGTTCCTTCAGGTTATCATAAATCCAGAACATTCAGATGCTTGGAGATGTTTGGCCAACTCGTATGCGAAGAAACCATATCGAATTCCCGCCAAAATCTGCATTGATGCTGCTCTTAAGAAGCTGGTAACTATTCTGTTTTAGAAGTTTTAGTTAAGTAATCCATTAGTATATATTTAAGCTAATCAAAAAAAAAGCGATCAGTTTCTTTTTAGGTATTATTTTATTCATTTGAATTGAATGGTGCTTCATTTTAATTGAATGAATACTTCCTGAAAAAAAAATTAAAAATAGTGAAATTGAAAAAAAAACAAAAAAAAAAGAAAAAAGAAAAAAAGGTGTTTATACATTGAAAATATAGTGATTACTACAGTAAAATATAAATCTATTTTTTGTTGGCTGAATAGTAAATGTCTAATAGGGGGTGAATAACAAAATAATACAGGCTTTTCGTCTCAATCTATAATATACTATATTATAAATATTTAGGCATTCAAAAATGCTTGGCAATTGAAGGATTTAAATTCGTTTGACCTACCAGATTTATTTAATATTATAAGTTCTATCTATTAAACTAAATGTCATGTTATTATTATTATTATTATTATTATTATTTATTTTCAACTTATTACTTTCATGCAATAAACTTAAAGATAACAGTTAAATAACATCTTAAACTTTGAGTTTATTATTTAACATAAATTGTAATATAGGGGATATATCGAGTAATTCCGTTTTTGGCACAATGCATTTAAAGGAAGAAAAGGAGGAAAATCATAATATAAAAACAAAAAAATAATGCTGTGTCTGGGAATCGTTTTGGGAAGCTTAGTGTTTTGGATGAGGAATTCGTAGGAGATTCAGTGCCGTATATAGCCTTGTTGCGATTTAGGTTTCTTGTTCTTTTCTTTTTTTAAATCAAAATCATTTCTTTTTTTTGTGTATCATTCATATATGTACACATACTAGTTAGTGCTTTTGGTTGATTGTTTTTCATATTCTGTGGGTTTATGAAAAAGCTGCTGCGGTTGCTGCAATTTTTTTCCTTCTGAAATGCCGATTATTGACTGAAAGATTATGCTTTTTTCTATCTTTTATTGGAATTTTAATCTTTTAATGTTGCAAAGTTCTGAAGCTCGATTTGCACTCCTTTGGCCATTTGTCTTTGAATTGCTTTTTGATGTAAAAAACAGAGCTCTGCTGTGTTAAGAAGTCAGTTGTTGACTGTTGTTAAGACAGAGATTAGTATTAACCAAATAGGCCACCTCAGGAAAATTGAAGATATTGGAACAAATAGCATTAAGGGAGTAAGGCATGCACTTCTCTTTACCCTCTAAATTTATTATTTCAATAGGAATGCATGCGTTGTATTAAGAAGAACAGTGTTTATTGAGTTTGAAATGTGCCTAGAGGTCTATGTGTAATATGTTATTATTTTTCTCAGTATATGAGCTATGTATCTTGATGGTGTCTGATAAATCTACAGTATAATTACAAAATTATGTTGAAAAGCTGCCAATTGAAGCATGAAACTAACATCATATGGAAAAGGTTCATAAAAACACGTTTCACTAAGCTTGCACAATCCTAGATAAACCAGAAGCACGTTCCTGAGTTTATGTATATTCATGAAGAAAATAAACCACTTATTGAATTATAAAAGAATTATGCTCATACACAAGGTATATATAAGATGGAAAACTTGAATAGCTTAAGAACAACCATAAGGGATCTAAGAATTATGTGGTATGTTCCATTTGAGGTACATGTATTATTAGGATTTTCAATTGACAAAAATGGTGTCACTTTTCATCTTTTATTTGTTCAGCGGCGTCCAGAGAAGGAAGCCCTTTGCAAGATGTCATTGCTTGCAGCTTGGCTTGCTCAAGGTGAAGTATTTCTGTAAGTCTACACTACTTAGCCATTAAAAAAGTTTTAACGATATCCTCTGATTTTCTATCAGATGATGTAAATGGAAGAGAACTCATTGAGGAAAGCATAAGAAAGGCTCATCAAGCAAATGAACTTGACAAAAAGGATGGGTACTGTTGGTGTAAGTCTGAGTTGCTACTTGGTTTACCTAGATAAAGAACTAATCCACACTAAATACATGTTTTAAATACATAATGTTTTTTGTAGATGCCCTAGGAAGGGCCTACCAGTGTTACTTTCTTCAATCTGGAGAGTGGGATTTAAATAGCCTTCAATTTGCATCACATGCATATGAGGAAGCGGTTAGTATTTGTCTTGCTAATTACAGCAGCCTGTTAAGCCCCTTTTAACTAATTTTGTGAGTTGTGACCTATTTTTTCAGAACAAGGATGAAGAAAGGAAGATATTTTACACCGACCTGATTTATCAGTGGGCCCTGGTAAGGCCTTTAAGTGCCAACTATAGCCTGCAGCAATGCACTTAAGTCTATTACTATATCTTTCTGATATTATCTGACTGGGTATATTTCTGATGATATTTCTATTCAGGTGGATACAGCCTTGGAGAATTACGAAAGGGCGCTTATTGGCTTCACACTTTCTGTGCAGTCAAATCCTGCACTTGATGGTACAAAAGATATGAACATGATGATTAGACTTCTGGACAAATTAGACATGATGCTTAAGGTGAGGTTAATTTTTTTTGGTTAGTTAACTTAAAGAATCGTCAAGTTATCTTCTTATTATTAATTCTAATGACACCATCAGAATCATTAGAGAATTCTATATTAGTTTCTTCAGGTATATGGTTAACAGCATATATGTGAAGTATCGGGCAGTAATATCTAGTTATAGGAGTTTTCTGAGCAGTTGCGCATCTGATATGTCCCTGACTTACAAAGCGTGAAGCAGTAGAGCACTATAATCAGTTCATACGTATTGCCTGTCACTAATATGGACTTCAAACCTGTTCAAACACTGATTCCATCATCAGAGTTGCATAATGGGGACAGCATTCTGTTCCCAGATATGCATAATGTATTAATATGGTTGTCTTTTGAGATACTCGATATCTTCAAATTTTGATGTGACAACCCCTATGTACTAATAATTGCTAGTGGGACCAGATGTAACATGAAGTTAGGATAAATGGTACGGTAGGAAAAGCACCCAAAAGAGGAGAAAACTGTAATGCTTTTCAATCATTTTCTAAAATTGATTAAATATTAAGGATTGAGGTGTAGTTGCTTGATGAATAGATTGATTTGCCAAATACTGCAAAACTAGATAAAGCTGAATCGCAGTAGGCAGTTAAGGTTTTGTATAGAGTTGTTTGGAGAGGAGGGTTCAGGTTGGATGTCTTAAGCTAGATATGGGAATCGTTGTGCTAAACGGATCAACTTGGTAACTTCGTGGATGCACCAAAGTCTTGGAAAAAATGTCTCCTTATTTGTTCTTTTCTGAATCCTTTCAGTTATATGAAAGGATGAAAGCATTTTCACTAAGAGAAAAAGAAAACTTATCGCTGCCTAGGTAGAAAATTATACTCAGACATGATGAAAGTATCCCCTCCGAGAAAAGGTTTAAGCTTTCAGCATATGACACGTCTCTAAGACAAATAGATGAAAAAAATATCATTTCTTGCGTCTGCACGTATAGTCCAATACCCATTTAACGAGTTGAGGTCATTGCACTTGCACTATAGCCTTATATTGGCTGTACTTTGTCCTAATGATATTCTTCCTGTTTAAATTTTAGTTGTTTCTTCTTCTTTCATCTCTGCAAAATTTTTAAAGGATATAAAAAAGTTATATGACGATGTCTTTTCAAATACAATGTCTTAGATTCTGTGTTTTTTTGAATGTTTACTACTTTTGAAAGCTGGGAACACTGTCAACTATACATGAGCTTATGAAGGATGCAGCTAAATTCGATGATCCTGCTATCTTTCAAGGTAAGATTAAGGCTAGTTGTTTTCGTTAACCTTTTTAATTGGGCTAACCTTTCCCCTGTAAATAACTCAGATCACTTCCTGGAATTTGTCACTCCTTAGCTTTATAAGTTTTGTGTCTCTTCTGTTCGTAACTTTGCATCCCCTGGATGTCTTAATCCTATTTCACTTCATCAAAAAAGAAAAGAGTAAGGGAAGGAGTGGGGAAACAAAGAGGTTTTAGATTATGCTCTTCATATGTTGAGGTAAAAAGTACTTCCCTGCAGTGAGTCCTTCATACGAAGAAGTGACCATGGATCTCCTATTTGGCGGTCACAATAAAGGGTTTGCAGTTTTAGCAAAGGTTTTGTACCCGGTTAACAATGAGAAAGTATATCCATTGTAAGTTATTTCACCTAAGAAAGATCTCATAACAATTCATCATTTTTTCACTTTTCATTTTTCATTTTCAGCATCCCTTTCACTCTTCTATTACAGATACTATGTGCTATGTGATACCAATCTGGACTGTTTCGTACTTACAGTGCATGGCATACACGCAATGGCAGTAAGTCTACTTCACTGTGCTGTTTTGATGTTTTTTTGGCATATTTTTATTATCATCAGGATCTCAATGGACCCAAAAAAAAGAAGATGGTATTAATACATCATTTTATCAGAAAGGCAGAGGCTAGCTAAGAAACTAATATATTTCAGATATTTACATCTCAGTTTGCTGCTAAACTTCTGCAGTAGAATTATGCCTGAACAATAAGTAAATGATGTTATAATATTAAACTACTGATGATTGACAGATCCAAAGAGGAGATGTAATCATACTGTTGGACCCTTACTACAGCTTGGTTAATTTCGAATGGCAAGGAAAGGTAAACTCCTTCATGTATTTAACTTTCAGAATAATTAGTCAACCAAACTTTTCCCTCTCCTAACTTGTATGTAACTTTTTATCTTTTGCCACAGCTTTACCACTTCAAGTCTGTGCGAGTGAATTTACCGAATCAAGTTCTTGTAAATGGAGAAGCAGTGCCGAATCATTTTGCCATCCGTCAACCACTCGGTAGAAAACCTAAAGCATGGGGACTCTAATCTTCTCCGTAAGTATGTGAAAGATACCAAGATAAATACAGTTGATATGCTCAGTAAAACGAGGTTTCATGTACATATTGGTCAAGCAAGCAAAACTAGGGAAAATAAAAGCTTGTCATACATGCTGTACGTGTGAAAATTGACTCGAAATATGCTGTTTGCTTATTTTATTCCATACATCTCAAATAATTGCTCTAATTTGAAAGTTATAAGCTAACACAACAGTTATTTATTGGTTTATATCTCAACAGAAGAATCTAATCTTCTTCTGTAAGCATGTGACTTCACTGTATTTGTTATCCAAAGTTCTCTTTCCTTGCCATCTATTCACATGTTTTATTTTATTGCAGTACTATCAGTTCAAATCAATGCGAGTCGATTTACTGCAACAAGTGCTAACAACTTCATGTAAACGGAGTAATTGTGTGTGCAATGTACCCCGAACCCAAGGAAGCATAAGAAGTCTGTGTTTTCTCACATCTGTGTGTAGATAACAAAGAATAATACTGGTGATTTGTTCAACTGAGATGGCTTTTCATGTAAATAGTAGTAAAGAAAACAAAACTGATGATCAAATTTCTAGAATGCTCATCAAACCTCCCACCAGTCAAAGCAGTATGCTTTCGACGACTATGGCATCATCTTTTTCATGTGGTCTTGAATACTTGTTTAGTTTCTTTAGCAAAACTGATCTTCTTTCGTTACTAGTTGTTTTATAGTTCTGTGATTACTGCATTTTGATTTGAGATGATATTTTCTGCGTAGATGACGCAAGTGAAGCGAATGCCCTCTATGTTGCTCGGACGATCTTGGAAAATATCGCCAGGTGCGTGTTAGATCCTCCAAAAATAATTTATTTTGGAGGATCCGACATAGGTGTGGTAACATTTTGAAGAGTCCGCGCAACATAGAATGACTTATATATATGTTCTCTTTGTAGTAGTCTAACTATCTACCATTCTGATTACTTGTCTTCTTTCATTCGATACTTCCTCAACGACCTCCACCTCTTTTGTCCAAATCCCACGAAACTAATTGTTCTGTTGGTAATCTCTTTTTTCACAAAAGAAGAAAAATGGGGAGTTTGCTACTAGGTGTACTATTTGTCTTTATTTACAGTACTTTAACTTTCATTGAGATACCATAAGCCGAAAACAACAAAGATCCGAGATGGAAAAGGGAAAGGACAAAAACAAAAGCCTAGCTAGTAATTGACTGTAGATGGGTTGTCAAACACGCGAGTTGGACAGATTTTGGACGTGTCAAAACGGATTGAGTTAATAATTGATTCGCCCAAAAATTACTTGGGCTGAGATGAACTGGATCAAAATGGGCTAAAATTTGAATCATAGGCCAACCCGCCCAATTCTAATCAAGCTTTACTTAAGGGATTTTTTCATTCTTGTACACTGTTTGAAACCTTATTACGAAAAATGTCTAAGTTTTTGTATTTACCCGACCTAAATACGTTTTAGCTACAAAATATATACATTCCACCCTAAAAGTCTCTCAATCCATTATTAGTGCCTTCAACCAAGGGATTTAGTTATACTTTTTTTCTTTTTTTCTCTCCTCTTTCCCCTTCTCTCCGGATCTTCCACCCTTGCAGCAATTTAAGTCAACTACTGTATGCCTTGATTTTAGTTTTCAATTTTGATAAAATAAAAATATCCCTCACAAACTTTCAAATTTTCTCTCCATCCAATTCATCTATCTTTGCACGCAAAGCACTCAGTTGACTATCATTAAAAGAAATTCGAAAATTTAAGTGGTTTTATTAGATATTCTCTACTGGCAAGCCAAATTTGAGAAGAAAGATCTGGTTCCACCGTTGTCAAGTTGAAGCTTCGTGTGATTTCAATTAAACTCAAATGTTTGTGTTGAAAATCAATTAAGTGTTGCTCAAGCTTGTTGGAAATAGCTTGGAGTCGTCGACTTTGACGTAAAAATTCGAAGCCGATCTCTATGTACAAGTAGGGACTTTGGATCATTGGGTGGCGCGTACCAAAATTCTTCTTGAATACGTAAAGAGAAGTGAATGCCTAAATTGTCTAAAGAAGAAGAAATAATTATTAATCTGAAGAGTTAATTCTTTTCCGGCGAAACGCTATTTTTTCGCCATTTAGTTTTGATTTGTGGATTCTCGTTTGTATTATTAATTGTGATTCCACTTAAATCAATATGTCTTTTGTATATTTTGTATCTGATTTATACATAGTAAAAACAAGTTTCATACAACTAATTATATATTATACAATTTATCTACAACTTTCATATATTATTTCTACCCAGTTATATACAACTACAATATCATATCACTTAAATACAATCTGTATATAAATTTTATGCAATATGTCTTTTGTATATTTTATATCTGATTTATACATAGTAAAAACAAATTTCATACAACTAATTATATATTATACAATTTATCTATAACTTATCTACAACTTTCATATATTATTTCTACCCAGTTATATACAACTACAATATCATACCACTTAAATACAATTTATATGAAATGCAGGGGCGGCCCAACATCATCCGAGGCATAAAGCAAAGCCTTAATAAGAGGCCTATATGAAATGCAGGGACGGAGGAAGTATGTTTTCTGGGTTCTCCCATTTCAGTTGTGATGCAATCAACGTTAAATTCATTTAATTTTTTGTACTTTATAAAACTAAATTCTCATTTTTTTTACTTCCACATCCTCACTTGTCTAATTTTTTTTTAAAAACGATGTTCATTAAATTATTATATATAATAATTTAATGAACATCGTTTTAAAAAAAAAAAATTAGACAAGTGAGGATGTGGAAGTAAAAAAAATGAGAATTTAGTTTTGATATGTGGTGTTAAAGTAGAATTACTTCTTTGAATGTTGTGGTGCTAATGGGGCACGTGTCCTTTGGCCCATTTGGGCGGTGCAATTAGATGTGAGCAAAGTGGGTGACTCCCGAGAAAATTCTAATGGTTTTGAGAATTATATATAGCAATTGAGAATATTTTCGGACTTGTGTATGGATAAAATCCGAGATTTGCGTCTGATGGTGCCTGAATTTGTGAAAATTTTATATGACTATGGATTCTACATTTTGTATAAGGAAGGTAAGAAGAACAATTTCAAATTCACATAATATATTATCAGAGTGAGTGTTATAGTTGTGGTATTTTTGAAGGTGCTTAAGAAGAATACGGTTGCTTATGGGCCGTAGGGCGTTGTGGTTCTATGCTAAGGTTTGTGGGGTAAGTTGTGGTTAAAGATCATGGTATTTTAGCAAGAAGAAGTATCAATCTGAAGACAAATTCGGAAGGAACTCGAAGAAAAATAGGACAACTGGGTAGTAGGTTGGATCAGTATGGTAATGGATAAGATCGGTTCCTTAGGTGCATATGATATAGGGATTTTCTACAGGTGCTTTGTGGAAATACACCTGGACTTGGCAACTTGCGTGGCTTGGTCGAGTTAGAGGAATTTAGTTTTAAGGGCTTGATTACGTGCAAATGGATTCCAAAGTATTCTTGATGGTTTCTACCGGTCTGGAGAACGTGTTGTGAATTGTGATTTCCTCCTGGAAAGAAGCAAGAGAAAGGTTTCTAACTAAAATGGTATGTAAATTATTGGTGACTCAAAGTTGATAATAAGATTCTTGTGCTTTTCACATGATGGCAAGATAGATGTTATGTGTTGTACGAAAGCTAGATTTTCATGTACAAGGTGGCAGTATAGTCTTGAAGAGAAGGTAATGAATGTTGGACAACATAGACGGTTTCAAATAACTAGATAAATACTATTACTACTTGGTGTTGTATGAGAAAGGGGCGGACTTCAGAAGGCACATTATATTTTTACTTACGGATGTATAAATTAGTATTGCGGTACTCACATGATTGACAGACTGCTGATATTCAAATTTTGTCAATTGGCACGGAAGAACTTTTAAAGTATTTCTCGTGGAATGATCGTGTATGAGAGAAGTGTTAGGCATTCGGGCGGTGGAGATGGAATCAAATATGGTGATTCGCGTGTTCTATGGATTCAGAGATTGGGAGTTCTCAGGGAGCATATTGTTTCATGGTTGTGGACTGTGAAGTTGTGGCCGGAGCTAACCAGATGATAAAATGTGTTATGATTCAGTCATTATGAATTTTCAGAAGAATTTTTATCTATTTGTGGGTAACCCGAGTTGATTTGGGGGTCCATAGGTAGGCCCAATTAAGATGTGTATTCTACACCGAGTCGGAATGGTTGGCTCCATAATGCTATTGTTGAGGGATGTGTCATTTGGTTGATGTTGAACTTATTCATGTTCTCAAATGATCTGTGAGTTACTCCTTTATGCTACGAGGAGTTGTGATTCATTGGTTATGTGCACAAATGGTGTGGTTCTATTTGAGCTTTATAGTGAAAGTTGAGCGTGATGAGTATTTGGGTATTGCATGATCGATTGCATAATGGTTATGTTCTTTCAGGTTTTTGTGGCATTTCTTTTGTCATTTGCCTCTCTGTGGTTATTGATTCGGAGCAGGGTGGCTCGGAGTATATAATATGAACCTCGTGTTAGAATCGGGTGATAGTTCTACGGTGTATGATAAATTTTTAGCATTTCGTTGTGGAGGTACTTGTTAATCTGGCGGGGCAGTTCTCTCATTTGAGTCATTTTCCAAGACTGGGTACATTTGAATGTTGCGTATTGGTTCACGGATGGCACGGGTTATGGCTCCGAGTTATATTGGTGCAGTATGCCTGTGGAACAGTTATGTTTAGTAATATAAGGTCATTGGGCATGGAATGGGTACTATTAGGTTTAATTTCGGTATATTCGGGAGTATAATATTGAAAGCCAGCTCAGAAAGTGATGATGGTTCCGGTTGGGGCGAGAGACCTCCATGACTTGTTGGTCTGATAAAGGGTTACGAGATTCTACATGTTTCTTTTATTATCAACAGTGTACGAAGGTTTTAGGATGAGGTTTGGTTCGATATGAATTTAATACTAGTATGCGATTGGTTTTGGAGTAGTCACTGCGATTAGGAATGGTGCTACGAGCATGCGAGTTATGTAATATACTGGGTGATTATATCCGTGGTTATAGTTATAGCTCGATGCAACTTATTCGGACTTATATAGTGTGTAAATGTAAGATTCGTATCTTGAAAGAAATTTTAAAGGTTGGAAATTAAACTCCAAATTTTATGGGTTAAGGTTAAATTAATAATTTTCAGTTGCATTGTGTAGTCAAGCCTATGTGGGATAGGGTGACGTGGGTTCACCCCCGGGTACGTGTGTGGTAAGATGGAACAGTTATTTGATGGCTTGGAAACATCTCTTAGCACGTTCGAGGACGAACGTATGTTTAAGTGGGGGAGAATGTAATGACCCAGCAGGTCGTTTTGAGTATTACAACCCCATTTTCTTATTTACTTCTCAAATTGTACGTTACAGTTGTTGTGTGAATTGCCGGGGCAATTGGTTCGGGTCCAGTGAGATTTTTGAAGGAATTGGAATACTTAGTTCCAAGGTTTAAAGCTTAAGTTAAAATAGTGACCAAATGTCGACTTATGTGTAAACGACCCCGAAATGGAGTTTTAATGCTTCCAATAGCTCCGTATGGTGATTTTGGA